GAAATAATGCAAAATGTCAGATGGACTAATAAAACTGCAGGAAACCATAACATTTCTACATCAATCCTCTGTGTGAATTGTATAGTACTCTTTTACTGTAAGCTTGCTTTAATTGACTTTTGTCTTCCTCTTATCTTTTCCAGGCCGAGGCCATTCTACTACCATTTTTCCTTTCTCAGAATAGGAAAAATGTTAAGCTTTAAAGTTCTTTCTTTGACAACATATTTCTATGGAGTTATCTCTGTAAAAATAACTATGTAACACAAGCTCCTTAGAAGTGCTCTCTTTCTGTTGAAGATAGATAGTCCACTGGAAAAGCAAGACTGGTGGACTCATTGGGCTGGAAGGACAGAAAACAAGATGATTGTAGCTGAGTGAGGATGGTACTGCTCTGAGCAGGAATCCAGACAGGGTTATGTCTGCTTTGTGGGGTGGTTAGTTTGTTTGCTTAGTTTTTTGTTTCTGTTTGTTTTTAAACTAATGGTTATTTAATGTAAAATGTATGAACCATCCTGGCACCAAGACTGGAACCCAGGACTCCTTACTTAGAGAAGTACCTGCAACAGTGGGCAATGGAGCCTGGTTTCATGGGGTATTCATGCATTTTTAAATTAGTCATTGGATTCACTCTAGAGTCTTTTAAAAGTCTTCGGTTGCTGCATTGCTGCAGAAGACAGACCGACTGTCCGTCTTCCGCATGTAACTTGTAAATAGTCACCCTACTCTCAAGACAATAAAATAGATTTAAAAGTTAAGACAGTTTCTTTCCTTGCAAAGTAAGACACCCTTAAATATCTGATACTACTTCTCCTAAAATTCTACATCAAATGTTTATCTTGTCTGCAGGGATACTGACACGAGAGAGAGAGAGCGTGCTTTGTTGTAGCCTTCTTAAGGCATTGTTATTAGACCATGATGTGGCCTATGAAACTAATTTATCCAAGACCGTAAGAGGAAGTGTGCGCGTACATTTGTGTATAACTTAGATTATAAGACAATAAAAATTGTCTGAGTTAAAGGTAATTTAATTCCTTTTAAAAAAATGTTAGGCCGCTAGTTAGTAAGTCAGACAATAAAAAGTGTCTGAGTTAAAGGTAATTTAATTCCTTTAAAAATGTTAGGCCGTTAGTAAATCATGCTCCTGGTACAGCGTCTGCATCTCTTTCATGTGGTCATACCTGATTGAACCTCAAAGTGCAGTTTTTGTCAGAGTTTAAACAGGTGGTGGAGAGTGCTGACTATGCACGCTTAAATGTTATGGACCAGTAAATTATTTCTAAAAATAATTTTAATAGATTTGTTTTGTAAAGCTTCATTGTCAAATCTCAAGAGCTTTCTATGCCCTTTTTAAAAATAATTACTGGAAACTTTGGTTCAGGCAGACATAATTGAAGGACACGGGGTGTGAAAAGAAGGCAGCAGATGGCTTTGTGCTTTTGATTCCACTAATTCAAAACTTGACTTCAGTGAAAGGGCAGAAAACATAGAGAAAGTTGAGAATAATCAAGTAGAAAAGAACATAATGTAAAAGGGAGTGGACTGTAGTTCTTAAAAGCAGATAGATCAGCAGTGCCAAGCATTAAAACTGTGAATCAAATAATAAATTCTTAAGGAAAACTAGCTTTCTGTTTTTTCTTTTTTGCTGTTTTCAAGCTTTTTCTCCAAAACAAAGAACTCTAGAACCTTAATAGGTTAAGCAAGATCGTAATGTAATTGTATTGTTGTTGGACCTGAGGCTATAAAAAGAAGAGTAAATATTGTAAACAATCAACATTATGGCATTGAAGTTAGGCTGCAGAACTTTATTTCACTCTCCACAGAGGGTGGGCAGGGAGAGCGGGGAAGATGGGAACCAACAGCTGACTCATGTATGTAATAGATATAAATCTGTCCAAGAACTTTCCTGCATGCGGCTATTGCTGTTTACTCACTGTCATAGGACAGGTCTGAATGACAGGTGACTGTGTTGTAATATTAGTATCATAGTGAGAATCATTAACAAGTACTGCAGTACCTAGTTTAAATTAGTTCTTACCCTTTTTGTGCTGAAGTTTATCCATTTTGTAAACTTTGTAAAAAAGTATTCCTTTTATATAAGTATAAACAATGTGTCCTGAAGTTTATAATGTTTCAGAATAAAGCTGGGTGATTTCTCAGTTTGGATATAGGAACCACCAATGCTTTATTATACAAGCGATGCATACATATTCTTCTTCTGCCCTTTGAAATTACATTCTAAAGAGCTTAGGAAAAGTGGCAAAGAAAAGATGTTTGCATAAATGTGCGTATTTGCTTTTTATTCTGTACATCATCCAGAGACAGTTTGTTCAAATGCTCACCTCATTCTTTGCAGGCAAGCCTGGGCTTTAGTTGGTGTCATAAATAGTGGGAATTCCTCCTGTAATGAATCTGTGAGAGAGTATGAAAATCACAGCACCGGAGGGAAGGCCCTTGCTCAGAGAGAATTTTTCACATTTGATGGTCAGAAGTTTTCTGTGACGGCTTTTAGTGAATGGAATGAAGGTAGGAAAGTTCTTTCTAAAATGTTTAGCTGGGGGTAGGGGGCAGGATCTGCTTTTAATGATTTGTATGCATTGTTTTCTAGAATGGCTTGTTTCATACGTTTTAATTTTATGAATACTGTAACAGGTTGTTTTTTCTGTCCCTCACATGGCCTAATTCTCAGGTAAGTACATGTCCTTATCAAGGAAAAGGGGGGAGGAGGGATTACACACCTCCTAATGTACTTTGTCTGCCTTTGCCTTTTTTGTATGATACCATTGTAGTAGAGAATAGAAACTATTTTTAATGTATAAAGTTAAAATATATCTGGCTATACTATAATACTATACTATACTATACTATAATACTGGAGCCTTTATGATAGAGCGATAGATAGAGCAATAGATAGAGTGAGCCTTTTTATGGTTTATGTAATATTTCTAGCCTTAGCATATTCTGGTGATTGCTGTTCCTTGTGACACTTGGAGAACTCTTATATATGGCAGATTTAACTTCTTGCAAAAAGTTTTCAATTTGTGTTTGCTTTCTACTTCCCACCACTGTGGTAATAAATAGTTTTTAAAGATGCACGGATTTTTACTTAGCCACTTTGTTTACCCTCTAGCCTTGTGAGGTTGGTTCTGACTAGTAAAAGGAAATTGTGGTCTTAGAAGCAACTTCATGTGGGGAAAAATATTATCAATGCCATGAGTTAGTTTTAAATCCCACCCCTCTCATCAGTGTTAGATTATCTAGTTGATTGTCTTGAATGTGACATAACAAGTTAGCTTGCAACCTGCTTTTGTTTTTTGTGTTCAAGAGGATCCTGGATCCTTTTGAATTTTGGATATTTTCTTATTTTACATTTTGTGAGTTGGAGGAACTCTCTGCTCCAGGCCTGCAAGTACTGGGCACTGTTCACTTCCTAAGAGTTTCCAAAGGACTGTTACAGTACCTCCCAGATTCTCCTGGTCTGGTAATATGTTTTTTATTAGCAGCCTTGCAGTTTTCTGTACTGTTCCTTCAAAACCCAACCTCTCTCTCTGGCAGTTTGCTTTCTTGGCTGTTTCCAGAACACTAATATAATTCCTATCATTTTGTACCTAAGAACAACTAGCTGTTTATCACTTTTTTACAGTGAAAAAACTTAACATGCCTTCCCTTACAATTTAGGAAGATAATCTAAATCAGGGATGGGCAATTACTTGAGCCTGAAGGCCACTAAGGAAGTTTTGGTGAGCTGTTGTGGGCCAAGTCAGCACCCCCTCTCCCTGCTCACCCACTCTGCTGGGTGAGGGCATCCCCCTAAGTGGACCCCCTCTTCACTGGACCAGGCAGGTCCCCTGGTCCCCCTCTTCACTGGACCAGGCAAGTGGGAGTGGGACAGGCAGGCAGGGCCAGGGTTCCCTGTATGCCCCTTCTGTGAGTGCCGGTTCTGCAGGCAGGAGCATGCAAGCAGCGGATCCCAGCTCTGCTCCAGGCCCCAGCCCCATGCTGTCACTGCCATGTGATCCTGGCCCACCTGCCCATCTGGCTTTCAGATGCTGCTCCCCACCTGCCTGCAGTCCCATCCCATCCACCTGGCCTTGCCTGCATGGGTCCTACCCCCAGCAGTGGGCGCAGGACGGACAGGTTGGGGTGCCCAGACTGCAGGGCCAGGTCCAGTGGCAGTGGCAGCTGGAAGGAGCCAGTGGTTGTGGGAAGCGAGTCCAGCTGCCACACTGCTCCAGCTCCGCTGTGTGTCTAGGAGTGGTGAGACCTGCTTCATATGTCACAACCTGAGCTGCCCACATGCCTGGGCTGGGCAGAACTGAGACCTGCCACGACCCAGACAAAATCTGTTGGCCGGACAGATCCACAGATCCAGCCCACTGGCCATATTTTCGTGCCCTCCCCCCCCATCTAAATAAATGGAGTTTTTTCCCCCCCTGCGCACTTTTTTTCATAGACGTTAGGCCTGGAAGGGACCTTGGAAGATCATCGATTCCTGCCCCAGGGGCAGGAAGTCAGCTGAGGTCATAGGATCCCAGCAAGATAAACATCCAACTTTCTCTTGAAGGCATTCAATGTAGGTGCTTGAACCACCTCTGGTGGCAGGCTATTCCAGACCTTGGGGGCTCAGACAGGAAAGAAGTTCTTCCTTATGTACAGCCTGAAACTGTCTTGGAGGAGTTTATGACCATTCGACCTTGTCATCCCTTGGGGTGCTCTGGTGAACAAACGTTCCTTCTTTATGTACTCGTTTTGAAATGATGGACAGGACAGCATTGAGAGGGTCCAGAGAAGGGCCACCTGCATGATCTGGGGACAGCAGGGCAGACCCTATGAAGAGAGGCTATGGGACCTTAACCTGTTCAGTCTTCACAAGAGAAGGCTGAGGGGGGACCTGGTGGCCGTCTATAAACTCACCAGGGGGGACCGGCAGGGGTTGGGGAAGACACTGTTCCTCCTAGTGCCCCCCGGGATAACAAGGAATAACGGCCACAAATTGTTAGAGAGTAGGTTTAGACTAGACATCTGAAGGCACTACTTCACAGTCAGGGCGGCTAGGATCTGGAACCAACTTCCAAGGGAAGTGGTGATGGCTCCTACCCTGGGGGTCTTTAAGAGGAGGCTTGATGTCTACCTGGCTGGGGTCATTTGAGCCTGGTTTTCTCTCCTGCCCAGGGCAGGGGGTTGGACTTGATGATCTACAAGGTCCCTTCCGACCCTACTTCTATGAATTTATGAACAGAATTTATCAGTTTTTCTTTCATGTTGAGCAGCATACTAGTTTGATTTGCTTGAAGTTCCCCTGTGAAAGTGACTATGGAAAGAATGGCATAATCTCCATATATGCATTGATTCATATCTGCTCACTTCACTGACAAAGATACTGACTTTGAAAGTTAGTTGTACACAGCAAATATAGCTAAGTAAAACAGTCTCATTCCATACCAACGTTTTTAGTTTGAATCACGATACCTGCACAAACCTGCCAAAGACAACAGAATAACTTGTCAAACTTTTTCAGTGATAAGATAGAACTTAGCTTGGTTCTCAGAATCTTGCATCTGAGGGTTTTGGAAAGCAGAACTATTTTAGGTATTTGTAAATATAAGTCATCTTGTTTTAACCTGAATCTTGACATCCACAAAAGGAGAAAGGCATAATAGCAGCAGGAACTTCTATTTCAAACACATTTTTATTGCATTTCATGTTAAAATCACGCTTTGAAATTGCCCTAAAAAGTTCAGTGTGTTTAAAAGGCCCCCCACCTCCTTTTTTAAAGTTGCTTATGAATTATCAGTGAAAGAGTACCTCTTTAAGTTGCAGCTTTATATATTGCAGTTCTTTTTCTCGTTCATTAGGTGTCCCCCTCTCAGGCTTCCAGGTAGAGGCTGTTGATGGAGTGATATTGGATCTCTTGGAGGATGTTAGTAACTGGCAGCCTAAAGATCGGATTGTAGTTGCAAGCACAGACTACTCAATGTACCAAGCAGAAGAATTTACTCTCCTTCCATGTCCAGAGTGCAGCAGATACCAAGTCAAAGTGAAAGGTATGAGACCAGATAAAACTGAGATACGTGGAATATGAAATATCTGCTAATTAGAATATTCCCTCCGTTGATGCCTGTCTTTTCTCCTCTGCCTCCCAGCCATATGCAAGGGATCCACTTCTTTATAATGTAAGAAATCACTAATTCTTGTCAGTCTCTTTCACACATGCAATGCTGCCTGTTCGTTTGGTTCTGTTTCCTCCTCCTTGTTTCCTGATTTTTATCACCTAGCAGCTCTGTTTTTCTAGTACCGTTTTCAGCTGTCCCTGATCTGGCACTGTCAGTCTTTTGGGGATTTTGGGGGGTTTTTTTTCCTTCAGAAAAGCCTTTTTTGAACCTGACTTCCTGTTTCCATTTTTTCCCCTCTGTCAGCAAAATGGTTATGAAAAAAGAAAATTGGGTCTCTTCTCTCTGACTCTGGTTGTAACTTATGGCTCCTCTATGTAGTTAACCATTCCCTTTTTTTTACTCCCTATGACTCATGTTGACTTCACTGCAGTCCACTGCATCCCCTGAGACAGATTTCTTAGCTACATAGGCATCTTCCTGTCTCTCTGGTCCCCCTTCTATAGAACCCTGTGGGAATCAAATTTTGCCATGTGCAGGGCAGGATTTTGGGATAGGAATAGGGTGATTTTGGGATACAACATTAGATCCCAATCATGCCTTACTTGCCAGCACAGGGGGAACCCAGAATCATGATCCTGGACTCCCTCTGCTCCAAGCTGAAAGCTGGGTGCTCACAATCAACTGATTGAACTGGGGTCTGGACCCAGTCCTAGTGCAGTCCCCGGTCCCAGCCAACAATCAGCTAATTGTCAAAAGCCCAGCTGTGTGGTGCGCATTTTTTACTCATTGTAGCGTACAGGGGAACCTATTCTGGAGTTGCATCACACTGGAACCTTTAAGAACAGTGTGTGCAGCTGGCCTGTATTGAGCTTGTCAGAAAATCACGTATGCCCAAGGACCTCAGAATCAAGGAGCCTCACTGGGATGGCTTCACACATGGTGTTCTGAGGAGCTGCATACACAGTTCTTTAAAGATCTGGGGTGCAGTGAGTCCAAGATCTGGGGAATGCTCCTTGATCTCTGGTTCATCACACCTCCCCATCTGCCAGGGTTCAGGAAATGGTTCGTCCCCAGCCCAACTTGGATAGGGGACAGCTGTGTCCCAGACCTGGGCCTGCCCCATACTGGATCCTGACACTCAGCTGAGCATCGGAATCTGCCACGGGCCAACCCCAACCTGCCATGCCTTCAATTTAAGGCATGAGCCAGCCACGTGATATGTGGAACAACTTTGTGGTTTGTTTACTGTATTACAAATAGATAAATAGTCTTGAACATATGACCCAATTATTATTAAAGGCATGATTAAAAGGTTGAATCGTAAATGTAATGCGTGTCAGCAGCCCAAGTATCTTCCTTCTTACTCTCTTAAGACTCAGAATTCTTGCTTGCTCCTGTAGCATGCTATCCTCACTTCTATATTTCTGATATTTGCAAATGTGTGTTACCTTTGCATCAATACCTCAGTGACATTTCTATAGGAATTTATATCTTCTCATTTTGACTGTATAGACTTAATTTTCACAACTTCCCTAGAACTAGTCCTTTAGACTCAACATCTGTATAAGGTTGTAAGTTTAATCTTGGATCTTAGAAAATGTAACACAGTTGTTCCCTAAAAAAGTCCATTTTTCTATTCATTCTAGATCTATGCTCTGCCCTTGCTTTGAATATCTCTTATCACAATTGCCAAAAGATTCTACTGTTCCTTGGCTCTTCCTGCTTGAAACTAGAGTTTTCTCCCCCCACACCCCTCCCCCTTTTGTAGGTATTATTTTAGGTAAACCTTTCAGGTTCACAGTTTACACACAAATTGCTATATTAAATTTATATGGCAGTTTTTAAATGCTCAAGAATAGCATTCATTAAACACATTCATCTTCAAAAACATACCTTTTAGTCCTATGCGTGAATAGCTCTAAAGTTTCTGCTACTAGTGTAGTCAGTAAATGTTTTATTAATCTTATGGGGTAAAGTACAACTTGCTCATTTTTCTGAAAGGAAGAGTAATGTAAAGCTTTAACACTTTATGTGAGTATCTTCATAAAGAAGGTGAATAGATCCATCTGATAGTTTTCCAGTATTAACATGAGTGCTGTTTCTCATTGTACATTGCAACCCAGTAAGGCCTATAGTAGAGGAAAATTTTCCTATTTCACAAGGAACATTAAATGTTTTATGGCATGCCAGTTTTCTCAAGCCAAACCCTCTCTAGTTTTCTGCAGATATTTGCATATCTGTCATGTTTTGCTGGCCTGGCTCAGTTCCATTTTGGGGGAGGAAGAAAAAATTAAAATGTATGCTTACAGCAGGCTTAACATCTGCCTGTTTTAAGCTCCTTTTTGCCTTTCCTCCAAGATAGGATAATTTACATTTACTAGCAAACTAATCCATCAGACTCTAGTATTTCTAAAATTTTGGCAGCACACGCAATACTCTGTATGAAAGAGAAATTAGGGGATTTTTTTTTCTTTTGAACACCTTGGTTGATTGTCGTGTGGGCTTTTTATTTGTTTGTTTTGTATTTTGCAGGAGAGGAGAAGGGGAGGGTTGAATTCTGTCAGCTGCAAGTCAAGTACCAATCCTAATCGGCTTTTATGTACTGTTAGTCACTATATGTAAAAGTGATTCTGAACAATTTCAGCCCTCCCTGTTACATAGCAGTCAAAGCAGAACCCGCACTTTGGTAGTTACCTTTTAGTAACTTGAATTATTATTGAAGTCATCCGTTTGCTCTCTCTTCCAGAGTCTCAGGTTTTTGTTCTTTCTGTCTACAAATCATTCACAAATGGGCATTGAGTTTCAACCCAATAATGCATTAGGATTCCTTATAGGTCTAATACAGGTCTGAAACAGAGAGGGCTTTGTTTCTTGTCATAGAATGAAAAATGCATCTGCTCCTTACTGTTTTGGGACTGGGTATGCTGTGGCATTTAATGGCGAGGCTGTAGCACATCAATTGCTTCAGTACACAAACCCTATCAGTGCACAATTACGTTGAGTACAATCTAAAAACTGAATGATAAGAAAGCTGTGTCTGTTTTTGATGCTGCACTCTTCTCCATCAGATCGTGGCCTTGTGGAGAGGGTGTTTCTTTTTAGATCATCAAAGAAACAGATGCCTGTAGCTTAATACTTATACTTGTCAGTGATGAGCATTTTCTCTTCCTCACAGAGATGATAAAGTTCATGGGTTAACAGCTCTTAGGTTTCAGTGCCACTACTCTAAAAGGCTTTAAAAATAAGCAACTAGAAGATACAAAGTGTTACCAAGTAGGCATAGAAGGGCAGCTAACAAACTATAGTTCTAGTTTTTAATGAATAACAACGTTAAATATTTATCTTTTCTGACATTTATTTTTCTTCTTTCTTTGAAATGGCTTTCTGATCAGAAAATCCTCAGTTCCTTCATATGGGAGACATCATTGATGGAGTGGACATGAGGGCAGAGGTTGGACTTCTTACAAGGAATATTGTGATCAAGGGAGAGATGGAAGATTCTTGCTATGATGGAAATAAGTGCCAGTTCTTCAATTATGATACATTTGGTGGCCATATCAAGGTTTGAAAAACACATTTTTAAGTGACTTCCTGTTAGTGAAAGGCAAATTGAGGAGGGCTTCTAACCAAAAGGGTTAATTCTAAATTTGGACTGCTAAATTGATGTTCGTGAAATTATCCCCGAGATCCTTTGTCTAAAAATATTTCTTCTGAGCTTCCCTAAAACTCATATTACCTTGTCAAGAGTTAGACTGGAGAACTGGGGACAGAGAGCTGCATTAACACACTTAAACATTCATAAAAGCCTGTTGTTTACATTGTGACTATGCAAGATAGTGAAAATTAAAATTGAAAAGTTTTCTTGGATGCCCATTTTGATACCCCTTAGCACAGTTTACGTTAAGGCAGGACTGTCCAGCTTCAAAATGGCTGTGGGGGCACACACCCTATGGGTCACACCCAGATTACACACCATCCACACACACCTGTACACAGGTGCTCCCCTCATTTTCCCACTGCATGGTACGCAGGTGGGCACCCCCCACCATGCTGCACCGTGGGCTTTCTCCACCCCGCTGCACTGTTCATGGGTGGGCAAGTGCTCCCCCACATAGCACTTCACGTCACTTCACCT